CTGAGGAAGGAGGTTTTATCATAGACTCTTCTGAAGTAAGATGACTGATATGCCAAGAATTTATGATAGAGTTACATGAGATGACAGTCACTTCTTTCTTTGAGCTGATCCAAACCTATTTCAGGTAAATGAAACTTCAAAGAAGGGTGAGATACCTGACTTCTATCCGAGCTCCAATGTTCCTTTGAGTGGTGACCCTTCTTCAGAAAGAAAAAACACTTTAGAGCCAAGTTCTGGTTATTCTTCTTAACTCATGTTACATGATGTTTCCTAATACATATCTGAATTCTAGAATTTTAACTGTAGAATGTTTTACATGGAATTTTGCTTTTGTTTATCATCTAGAATATTGGTCCAATCTAGCATATGGTTATCTAGAGCAAAAAAGAATATGTGGAAGCTGAATTTAAAATAAAAATCTTCTTTTCCTGAAATTCATAGGAAAATAAGTTGTCTTATATGAGTTTTGGTCAGGTCAATTCGGGATAAATACATCAGAAACTTCTGAACCATTATCTCATATCATGCAATTGATAGGCATCATATGACTGAACTTATGAATTGGTCATTGCTTGAAAGATCAGTTTATGTCAATTAATTTTCAGCATAATGAACTTGAGAGAATTTCAAAGCAGTAGACTAATGGATTCAGGAGCATGAAATAAAAAACAGAGAATAAATACAATCTTTTTTGTTTGTAATTTAGTCAAAAATTGGTAATTAGATAAGTCAAGTACCAGTTGCTTGCAGCTCTTTCTATTTTTTTTTTGTCATTTGCATGACAGCAAGCGCTAATGTTACACCAGCTCCATGGTTAATATACTAGATATTCATTTTATCTATAGTGTTCTGATTCATTTACATTTTATAACTCGTAAATCTCTTTCATTTATAGATTATAATTTCTCAAATTTCTAATTATTTCTTTTCCCTCAGATTCAACTCAAGAAAGCATTGTGACTCCAGTTTATAATGTTAAGGAATCCCATTTGGTATATTTTGATGGATGTTTGGTATGATCTTTTCTGCTATTTTTTCCTGCTATTTTTTATGTGGTTTTAGAACTTATGCTAGGAGAATTGTGTAAAGGGTTAGAAACATCTATACAAGTATTAGCTATTTAATCTTAAATGAATTTAGCAAAGAGTAAGCCTGGTCAGGTTGAAATTTTCAAATCATTCGAATACTTGTCATTTGAAATGATGGTGATATTAATTCCGGGGAGAGTTACTTGACTCATAAGTTCCAATTTGGTGCATTTCTCATAGGTTCTCTCATATTTGAAATCTAGTAGCATTATTTTGTAAACACTCCCAAACTTGAAAAGTTCATGCTTCATTGCCTGCATGATGGCAGGGAACTTCCTATTGTCTATTGAGATGAACTGCAAGACCTAGTTGCAAGACATGAATACTTTTACTGCTGCTGGGTGTTCATTCTGAGATGTGAAATCCAACTTTTATTGTGAGAACTTCTTTTTAATTAGTTCATTCTGAAATTTCACATAAGCAGAAAAACCAGCACATCCCTTGACAATCGCTTAACTGTCATAAAAACTCTCTGCTACTTTTGTCCTATGCCACATGCCAGACCTGGGAAACTTACTTCCAATGTCTAGTTTCCAAAGTTCCTCCTTCATGTTTTAGTAAATCACATTTTACCCTCTAGTTTATGAAATTCAATAACGAGCATATTTAGCTGAACCATCTTTCTGATGCTGCCTCAGATTATGTGAGACTACATATTGTTGGAAATAGAGAAGAAGTGCATCATGTATAAGTAACGGGCAAGAAATAAGAAAAGGAGAAAATTTATGAATGTTTAAAAATGAAATTGCTTTCTGAAAGATATTAATAACTTGAAATCCTGCAACTCATGGACCCAGATATGTTGAAATCCAGCAACTTTGTAAGAACACTCAGGTTAGCTAGAATGATCTCTTCCCTGGTTAATATTTGATTTAAAAAAGACTAATCAACATAAAGGCCTCCTTGCTTGAAACTAACAAGCTTTTTGGATATAAATGACTTAGATTACATGAAAAATTAATAAAAAAGGACTTACAGGCCCCACGTAAGCTGATTCATGGAAGTGGAAAGAAAAAGATCAACCACTGGTGGCTATAATCCACTATTCATCAACAAATCCCCTGATATCTGGTCTGGTAAAGCTGCTTTAGGTTGCATCCCTGTTGTGGGAACTCATGCTTATACTACTCTTTTCTGCTTGATAGAATGGTCTCTAAAGTTCTTGACTTGATCCATCATTGCACAATTGGATCTATTACATATATGCTTGTGCTGATTTACAGATGCTGTCAGTTCTTTGCATCACTTCCTGTGAACTGAACATATTTGTCCTTTTGTTACACAGGTGGAACAACTATGTCAAGAACATATGGAAAATAAACAAACTCTTTCGCATCAAGACCAAATAAAAGTATTTGTTACCTAATTCGATTTAACAAGAAATGAATTATATGTTAATTAATGTTCTGAGAAAGATTGGCCAACTTGTTTATTTCAGATTGCAGATGCCAAAATACGGGAGTGGTCAAAAGGAAAAGAAGGAAATATCCGATCATTGCTATCAACTCTGCAATATGTGAGTTTTGATTTCTAGCAGTGATTATCTAATAGTTACATGGACAATTGGATGCTATGCCCATTGTTTTCTTTCTTTGATACATCCAGGTTCTTTGGAAAGAATGTGGATGGAAACCAGTTCCACTTGTTGATATTATTGAAGGAACTTCTGTGAAGAGAGCATATCAGAAGGCACTGCTTTGTCTGCATCCAGATAAGCTACAGCAAAGAGGTGTTGCTGAGCATCAGAAGTATATTGCAGAAAAGGTTTTTGACATTTTGCAGGTACTTGGGATTGTTTATTGACTTTATTCATTATGTGTTGTACATCCAGTTGCAGGCATTGTTTTGTCTTGACTTCAATACCACAGTTTATCTACTTGTTAATAATATATATGTGTGTGTGTGCGTGCATGCACATACATACATACATATATATCATTCACATTCATATTCATCGTCAGTCCCTGTGATACTCATGTAGGTTATGCAAATTTATGTACAGACAAATGATATAGATCTTACAAAATTCTATTCAGTGCATGCTATAACTGGAACTCTGACAATTGGAAGGAGTTTTCTTTAGGGGAGAAGGGAGTTGGTTTTGGCATTTATACAATATAACATCTTGTCTCCAACAGGCAACTGTTACTGATTGTTGACAAAAATGGTTGTGATTCCTGATGGCATCTAAATTATGACTAATACCTTGGAATGACAAACTACAAGATGTTTCATTGCACTCCTTCAACTCGTCGGGGATTCTAATGAGTCAGATATGGATGTAAACATCACATGATCTCTCTGAATCTGATACTTATGGATCAGAAATGAGGATCTTTACTCAGAATTTTGGGTAGGGTTTGAGTCATTTATTGGACACATTATTGGGTGTAGATCTAAGACCCTCACTTGATACAATGATATTTATGGATCAAAAATGAGTATCTATTTAGATCTTGTATGGGACTCTAGGTTGACCTTCTGAAAGTTCCATTTCATCATGCAAACTATGTTCTTAAGACAGCATTGTGAGATATATATATATATATATATATATATATATATATATATATATATATATATATATATATATATA